GGCCGCTTGAAGGGACCTGGGGGTTGGGGGTGGCGAGCTGCCCTTCACGGACCAGCAGCACCACCCCGGGGACACGGTGTCCCAAGGGTACAGGGCTTGCATGGGGCTGCCAGGCAGCGCGCGCAGAGCTTGCGGAGGTCACCGCACCCCTGCCGCTTAGCAGCCGGCAGGTGGCATGAGCAGGGTCCCTGACTGGGCTTCCTTCCCAACGGCCGCACACCCCTGCGGTGTGCCTGGGAGGGAGGGAGGCTTCTGGTCCTCTAGCTTCTCTGGAGGGACTGCGGCCCCCCGGAGACCCTACCTTCACCACCCCCGGCAGGACAAGGGCCTTACTGGCTCACCTACCTGGTCCCCTCCCCTCCCAGTGCCCTTGTCTCCAGAATCCCTGCCCCGCGGGGCTGAAAGGTAGATGGTGGTGAACAGGTTATAAAGGAGAGTCCCCTTCCCCCACCCTGGCCCGAACTCCTCATCCCTACCCCCACCCTCAGTCAGGGGACAGGAAGGGACACAGAACAGCTGATGTTCCCAGTGACCCCTGGGTCTTTCTCTCAGTCTCTGACCCCAGCACCCACTGCTCTCCTCCTGGGGGTACCCAGAGAGCTGGGATGGCCTGCCTGGCTTGGGGGCCCAGGGCAGACCTGGGCCTCTGTGCCTGGGAGTGGGGGTACACAACCTTGTACAGGGGCTGGGGGATGGGCAGGGTGGGCCTGGAGCCCTTCGGGCCACCAGCTTTCCATCAGGGGCTGAGCAGCAATGCCGAGGACAGGCAGACTGGGCCATCCGCGGCAGAGGTCTCTACCCCACAGTGGGACCAGGGGGCGGGGCTGGGAGTGGAGGTGACTTTGGCCTTGGCTCAGGCTTTGCAGCTGAGGTCAGATCCACTGACCCCAGCCATAGTGTCCTGGGGGATTCCCACCACGCCATCAATCCCAGGAGCTCACTCAGGTGTGGGGGGGACTGGCCAGGCATGTCCTGAAGGGACCTTTGTTCTGGGGGATGATGAGGAAGGAGCACGATGCCCCTCCCCCACCTCCGTCCACTGGGGCATTTGGAAAGTGGCTCAGATGTCTCTAGAAGCTGTCAGGGGTGGGGTCCTGGGTGGGGGAGGAACAGTCAGGCTGAGTGAGACGGACTCACCCATTCGCTAAGCTGATGGTACAGTGTGTGCCAGGGACCACACAAAGAACCCAGACTAGAGAGAGGGCAGGTGGTTTGTTCTTTCTTTTTAAAAAAGAATTATTTTATTTGTTATTATTATTATTTTTATTTTAAATTTGACCAGAGAGAGGAGAGAGAGGGAGAGTGGGAAAACAAGCCACCAATTCTAGGACTTGAACTGCAGTCGACAACATGGGAACCCAGTGTCTTTACTACCACACCACCTGCTAGCCCCTGTTTGTTTGTTTTAAGAATTATTTATTTTTATTTTTGAGAGACTTTTGCTATAGGGCACATGCACCTGCCAGACAGACATAAAGTGAGAAATCACCCCTCAGGGGGGTCAACCATGCCACAGTCCCTTCTCCACACCAGTCTCCTCTTGGTATTTTGGGCATGCACACACATGCGTGCTTGTGAGTTTGAAACTACTGGGTCCAGGACTCAAACCACGGTCGACCATATGGGGGTCCAGTGACATAACCATTATGGCATTTGTTGGTTCCTATTATTATTATTTTTAATTTGCAATAGGACATATGCACTCACTAGAGAGAGACAGAGAGAGAGACGGAAAGTGAGAAAGCAAGCTGCCAGGTCCAGGACTTGAACCCCAGTCACTGGGACTCCAATGCCCCAACCGCCACGCCACCTGCTGGCCCTAATGCTTTTTTTTTTTTGATTGCTGACTTTATTAATTTTTAATGTTTTTTTTTATTAAACAAAAGCATTATTTATTTCATTTTCTTTCTTATCATTATTATTATTTAATTTGCTATAGGACACACTAGAGAGAGACAGAGAGAGAGACAGTGAGGGTAAGCCACCAGGTCCAGGACTCGAGCTGCAGTCAGCCACGTGGGAGTCCAGCGTCTTAACCATCACAACACTTGCTGGCCCCTTAGTGACTTTTTGATTTTTTGAACATGGTTTGACTTTGCCTACTATAAGACTATAAATTATAAATTCTCCCACGATTTCCTCTAGTGCTTTTATGATTTTTTTTAATTATCAGAGGGCACCTGTGCTCACCACAGGTGAGAAAGAGAACGTGCTCCCCAGGGGGGCATGTAGTCCCTTCCCCATTTCTCCATCCTGTCAGGATTTGGGGTATGCACACACGCACGTGTTTTGTGTGGTTGAGCAGGGGGGATCCAGCTCCTTTAACTGCTAGGCAATGGGGCCAGCCCGAAGGCAGCTCTAAGAGTGGAGAGTGTTGAAGGTTGGCAGGAGTGGCAGGCTCTCAGAGTCTGAGGACATGTCTCCAGACACCCGAAGGCTCTCGGCAGCCTCTAGGGGTGGGAGCCCGGCTCCCGGTGTTGTGGATCTGGTTGTTCCCTCATTGACTGTGTCCTCCCTCTTCACTTGGCTGCCCTGTGCCAGACACCAGGGAGACCGCAGCCCCAGGCGCCTGACCTGTGAGCTGAGAACCCACATGGGTCTCAGTGCCGACGGAGCTCCGTCCACACACCCTCCAGGCCACCTGAGGGCACACGGCTGTGATGTACTCTCCACCCTTCTGCAGCTCAGCTGCACCTCATGTAGCTGTGTATTCTACCTTGTCGCCCTCCTGAGAGGATGGGCCACTTAGTCTTCTCATGCAGCCAGGGGAGGTGGATAGAGGTCATAGGAGGTCAGGGGACTTTCTGAGAAGATGACAATTGTCCCAGCAGCTCTCGGTAACTGAGCCACTGAAGGGAGGCCACCCACCCCTAACACTCTGAGGGCTCACAGCTTACTGGGCACTAGTCTGAGCGTTTCAGGCATGAAGGGCTAGTTTGTATATCACTATTACAGTCGTTTCATAAGTGGGGAACTGAGGCAAAGGGCAGCTGGGTGACGTGCCCAGGGCCGCATGGCTAGAAGGTAGCAAAGCCAGCGTTTGAATGCTCAGTCCCTGTACCACGCGGCCAGCCCTCAGCCCTCTTGCCTGCGTTGTCCGGCTCCTCTCAAGCTGAGGCTTCCGAGGGCGCCTGAGTCCTCCACCTGGTCTCCACATCCACACTAATTGCCAGTAACAGCTCAGGGGTGCCCGGTGCTTCCCTGGCCAGGTACAAGGCCTGGAGCCTCAGCCGGGTCTGAGAGCCTCATGTGATGCCCACACTGAGCCAAAGCCTGTGCCCAGCTGGGGCCGCCCAGCACCACCCCAAACTGCACCCCGTCATCGGCAGCAGTTAGCTTCTCCATGTCAGGCGGGGAGGTTAGGAGTGCAGAGGAGGGACGAGCCTGGGTCACTAGCTCTGTGACAGCACGTCACTCAACCAGGGGTATGCATCTCGGTGTTCCCATCTCTGAAATGGAAATGGTAATGGTGTTGATGTGGTGGGGGGGGATTGCTGGGGATTAAATGGCTTAGTTCCTGTGAAGCACTCAGCTTAGTACCTGACACATAGCAGCCACTCCCAAGTAGTAACTGTTACTCAGGTTTTTAATCATTCAAAAAGATTTTTGCCTGAGGGCTCGTGCACTCACTAGAGAGATGGACAGGCAGAGCAGGAAAGTGAGAAATCGCCCTCCAGCCGGGCTGTCACCCCTGCCCTTTAGTGCCCTTCTCTCACAATGTTAAGAAAGGAAACTCGGGACCAGCAGTTAGCGTAATGGCTATGTCACTGGACTCCCACGTAGTCGACCACAGTTCGAGTCCCAGACCTGGCAGCTTGAACTCACACCAGGCGCATCTGTGTGCGTGCCCAAGATCCCGAGAGGAGAATGGAGAAGGGATTGCGGCGTGGCCATCCCCCTGGTGGGTGATTTCTCACTTTCTATCTCTCTGTCTCTCTCTGTCTGTCTGGTGAGCGCACACGCCCTATAGCAAAAACCTCTCAAAAAATAAAAAAGAAATTAAAAAAAAGAAAGGAAGTTCATGCACCTAGTACGTTCTACAGGCCACCGGCTCCAGGACTTGAACCGTATTGTCAGCCATGTGGGACCCAGTGCCTTAGTCACCATGCCCCTGGCTGGCCCTCAGTTTTCATTTATGTTACGGCCTCTCTGTGCAGACAGCTAAGCAGACCTTTTTTGGCTGGGACTAGAGAGGCCCCAGAACTTTAAGTCCCATCGTGCCTCATGGGGAAGAAGTGATGGCAGG